AAGGGGCCCCGTGCTGCTGGTCCCTGACCCAGCCGCTCTTCCTGCCATGGTGTGCCCATCCTGCTCATACCTCGTGCTCCTACCTTGTGGTGCCGATGCAGCTGCTGGTTTGCTGGCAGCTGGGGCTGGCAAAGTGGTGGGTTCTGCTCCGGTGGCCGTGGTGTCGAGCTCTTCATAGCTGCTTACGTTGCTATTAGTACTGGAGTGTATTGGAGGGACAGGACGGGCTATGGAGGTGGGGAAGGCAGAAATAGCATCCAAGATCCAGTCTCTGAGTTTGGTAACACGTGTGTAAACCCCAGGCCGCCTGGCTTCAGCACACCCAATTCCCCAGCTCACGATTCCCGCCAGGAAAAACTTGCCAGATGGTTCTTGGCAAACCAGGGGCCCCCCGGAGTCGCCCTGCAAGAGAAGCCAGATGGTGAGCTCTCCCCGGGGACACACCGAGCTATCCCAGGCCACCCCAGCACGCCTCTGCCAGGCTCCATCTCTGTCCCTGTGCATCCCAGCTCACCTCTGCTCATCTGCTCCAGCCTAGTGATGAGTGAAGCATCTCCTGTGCTGGCCTTTGGGTGCTCCTCTGTGTGGGCACACTGTCCTGCTGTTAAGCCTTGCGCCCTTGATATGCCAGAAGAGCACATCCTCCATAAAAGGGGAAGGCATTTCTACTGGTTTAATCATTTGTAAAACTGCTGCTCTTAAAGGTTAAAAGCCCTTAAACAGCCATATGATGGGTGTTCATTGCATGATACCCAGGGAGAACATGCTAATCTTTGAATTCTATTTTCTTGATTTGGCCTATGGTTCCCTGGTCAGTTCTCTGGTACTATGGGGCCATACAAATGTCATGGATGTAGGACACACATCTCTGAAGCTGGGCATTGGATTGCTCTAGGGGAGTAATGAATAACTGGGTCATGTTCATCACCCAACCTTGAATCTTCCATTCTTGGCCCCTACTCTGGTGTTTGTGCTGCATTTGGTGCAGAAATATGAAGTGCTACCGCCAGAGAAGTGCAGTTTTGCTCAGGGTGTGAAGGGCCCTGCCAAGGCACAGGGACAGCCATGGAAATCACCATCTTCCTCTTACTACGCACTGTGAAAGGCAGGATTTTCTGCAGCTGACCACTTGCAATTCCAGGCTGGATAAAGGATAACCAAGGAAAATACCAAGTTGTTCAACAAAAGCTGTTGTGTATGTTTGAGTTTCCACTGCTGCCCTTTGCCACCTGGATTTTGATCTGAGGACCAGCCAGGTACGCTGGTAGCACCAGCCCTGATTACAGCTCAGGAGATACAGAAAAAAGGAGTTAAACAGCCAAAATAGCCCCTTAAACAGCAGTCCCTGCTCTAAGCACGAGAGAACATGACCTCATTTTTGTCTTCTACAGTCTCTGATCCATGCTCAGGTCCAAGGCCTGGCCTCAAACCTTGGGAGTTGGGACTGTGACCATGGTGTCTGATTCTGCTTCTTGAAGTGCTGCTTGGTGCCCACTGGGAGGGAAAAGACTCATGCCGGGAGGTCTCCTGGCTTCCCTGGGCAAAGCTTACCTGGCAGGAGTCGATTTTCCCTTCCAGGTAGCCAGCACACATCATCCTGTCCGTGAGGACATGGCTGTAGAGGCTGGAGCACAGCGTCTGGTCCAGCAGCTCCACTGTTGCTTTCTGCAGGAACTCGGGTTTCACCACTGAAGGAGAAAGATGCAACCATGAGTTCATCACAGGAGCCTTGCACAGGACCAGCTGCCCATGTTACAGCCCACCCCGGCCAGCCAGATCACGGTTCCCTGTCCTGGTGCCTCCTGCTCCGCTCACCCCACCATGCCTCCTCTGCCATGCTTTGCTTACAGAAATCATCCTTGAGGTAGCCCCAGCCGGAGATCAGGCACTTCTTGCTGGCGGGGAAGTGGTGCCCAGCGTCTGGCAGGCACACGGGCTGGATGTACTTGGTGAACCTCACGGGTCTCTTCAGCTCCAGCACGGCCACGTCATAGTCGGCCGTGTCGGCATTGTAGGAGGGGTGTGGGATGATCTGTGTGATGCCCATTTTCACTGCGCTGCCATCTGAGCCTCTGAGGGAGGTGGTCCCCGTGTAAGCTGCCCACATGGCTGGGTCCTGAAACCTGGAAGAGACACAGTGGGGACTGTGTGAGCCCACAGCTGCAGCATCGCCCTGCAAACCAGAGCCATGTTGCATGGGTGGTGCCTCCTGCCCGTCCTGCATCAACCCGAGGACAGGAGCTGCCTTGATCTGGTAGGGGAAGGAAAGTGGGCGTGATGGGGCAGTGGGGTACAGCAGGGGCTCGAGCTGGAAGGTATGGCAGCTTTTGGGAATGTGGGAGTCAAAGCTAGCGAGGCTGGAGCTTACTCGGCAAAGCAGTGAGCAGCAGACACCAGCCACTTCTCTGTGAGGATTGCCGCACCGCAGAAGTGCTCGTTGTTCTCTCGCAGGCTGACTTGCCATGGGAACTCCCCTCTGGACGCCTCCGAGCCTCCCACTATCCTGCTGGCAGTCAGCATGGCTGGGCGGCTCCCGCAGTCTGAAAGGGAGGAGAGAGCTGGTGCGTCAGGATCTGGCTGTGCCCCAGCACAGGGCTCTGGGGGAAAAGGTGGCTTCAGCATCCTGCTGCTCCAGCAGGTTCTCAAGCTGCAGGACACTGCATTGCTACAGGTGTGGGGAGGAGTGGCTGGAGAGCTGCTGGGCAGAGAGGGATCTGGGGTACTAGACAACAGACAGCTGAACATGAGCCAGCAGTGGGCCCATGTGGCCAATGGCACCCTGGCTTGTATTGGCAATGGTGTGACCAGCAGGAGCAGGGAAGTGATAATCTCCTGTACACAGCACTGGTGAGGCCGTGCTTCAAATCCTGTGTTGGGCCACTCACTGAGGGGTCTGGAGCACAAGAATGATGGGGAGCAGTTGAGGGAGCTCCTGAAGAAGAGGAGGCTGAGGGGAGACCTCATCATCCTCTACAGCTCCCTGAAAGGAGGGGGTAGAGAAGGGGGATTGGTCTCTTCTCCCAAGTAACAAGCGATGGGATGAGAGGAAATGGCCTCAAGTTGTCCCACGGGAGGGTTAGGTTGGATACAAGGGAAAGTTTCTTTCCCAAAAGAATTATCAGGCACTGGAAGGGGCTGCCCAGGGCAGTGGTAGAGTCACTATCCCTGGGGTATTGAAAAGACGAGGAGATGAAATGCTGAGCCACCACAGTGTCCCTGCCACTCTGCTCCCTGGCACTGCCACAGTCCCTTCGAGATGGAGCCAGGAGCAGAGCTGCAGCTCTTGTTGAGCATGCAGGAGGAAAGGGGTGCAGGGCCCGGGACAACCATGTGATGAACAAGATGGGGCACAGGGCCTCTTGTACCTACAGCCAGGCGACCAGTGAGGAGGGGGCTGCAGGATGGGGAGCTGGGAGATGGCTCCTCTGCTGCCTGGTTCTTACCTGCTTTCAGTCCCAGTCGGTGGGCAGAAACCTCACTGGGACCTGTGATAAAGTGGGAGGAATGAGGGTCAGTGAGGCATCAGTCAAGGGCACGGGAGCAGGCTCTAAAGCCAAAGCTACACCGGGCTGTTGCCTAAAGAAAGGGGTGCCTGTGCACCCTCCATTTGGGCTGCACAAGGCTCCCAAAGATCCGGCGACCCTGCCCATCATTGCAGGGAGTGCAAAAGAACCATCACCTTCATGTTTTCCAGGCACATTTGTTTTTTTCAAATCTATTGGACCTGGACCTGGAGCCCTGCAGTCACATGCAACCCCACAGACACTGAAGGAAAGGAGAATTTCCAGCCAGGTGGTTTCAGAGAATAATTTAAATATGAGAAATATCTGCCCAAGCAGGAATCATTGCTACAGCTCTGAGGACTGCCTAAGGGCTGCTGCGCACTTGGAGGTACAGATAACCCAGCGAATAACCTCCTGAAGCAAGATCTCCTGTCCCTCAGGCTGGTTCCAGGTGCTGCAAGGCAGAGGGGGGACCTGGGGACTCCCCAACAAATGTCTGTTGAGCAGCCGCCAAGATCTAGGGATGTTTCTGCTCTGTCCTCTGATGCTGGTAGCAGCCGGGAGCCAGGCAGAGCATCCCGTGTTGGTTTGCTTGGGTGCCTGGCAGCGCCTCCACTGCTGCTGGGCACGAAGCCTCAGCTGGCACCCAGAGCTAAAACCATGCAGCAGTTTGGCTCCCTGAGACCCAGTTTGTGGTTTTACTGGTGTCACCCCGTTCTGGGTGCCCTGCGGTTGTGGAGGAGCGTACCTGTAAGGGAAGCTGAGGAAATGGTCCCATAGGCAGCCAGGGAGAGACCCTGCCTGTGCAGGGCAGCCTCCAGCCCATGTCTGAGAGCCTCCTCCTCCACGGTGGAGCTCAGGGGCTGGGAATCCTGGGGGGCGAAGCGGAGGCGGAAACGGACGATCACACTTGA